GTATTGCCCTCGCACAGAGGGTCCGAATAAATATACAGTCCCAAATGAAAGAATAGTACAGTCCAAATAAATATTAGAGTCCAAATATGTACAAATTCCTAATTAATTAACAAATTAACTAAGAAAATGAATAAAACTGGCATGCAAGCTAGGGACTACCTTGCTTCTGATGAATGATGTATATTTAGGCTGCCTTGCACGGAAATCCACCGGGATGCCCCAATTAACCTCTGTTTAGCAGTTATTCTTGAAATGCATGCCAAGCCTCGGAAAGTTACTGATTCTTCATTTTGCTGCAACAGAGAGCAGGAAAGGGGCATAGCAATGTATTTTCACAAATATATGCATACTTCGATCCTCGTGCCACCAATCACGCGTATCGAGGCATGATGGCCGAGGAGTCGAATTGCACAATTCAATATGGGATGAATGCACATGAAAACACAACAAGACCTAACTCCATCATGGATGATCCGGAGTGTCGGTGACTGGGGGAATTGAGATACATTCCGTTACTCGGAGTACGGAACGCACCTCGTTTCCCGTGCCTGGGCTAACTCCTATCCCGAACACGATGCAACATGCATGACATGCATGAAATGCAACTAAGATACGATCCTAACATACGCAATGTTATGGAATGGCGTGCACGCTATACGAGGTAATATACAAACGGGCATACACAATGCTATGGATGAAATGGCATACGCAATGCAATAATGGGCTTACACCAACATGAGAGAGCCTCAGCCACACTCACACAGGAGGCCATCAGATGAAAACAAGACAACTCGAAAATGCGTGCACTCGGGCACGCAAACCGAGGACCGGCCCTCAGGCACCGAAATGCCACTCTAATGAGACATGGCAAAGACATGGAATATGATATGCAAATATGCAAAAATAAGTAGCAAAAGGAGGGGGGAAACAGCCCCGAAACAAGGCGAAATGACACCCGATGCATGGGATTTCTCCCGAAATGCGAAACTAGGTACATAAAATGGCTTACAGCTACACAAAACATGCGTAATTGGCACATGGAATGAAAAGACAGAAGCAAGGCAGCCCCAAAATAAGCACTTTTACAGTTCAAAGCATGGCCAAACAACAAACAGAAACAGGGCAAAACTAGCATGCAAGAAATGGCCCTAAATATGAGATAAAGAAGCAACTCATAGCTGCTGTCCTCAAACAGATTAGGGCCCTTCAACAAAGTTGAAGAGAGGCCCAAAACATGATCTTTTACAGTTTATGGAAAGCCACAAAAACCAGCACAGATATGGCTAAACTCTCATGCAAGAAATGGGCCAAAAAGTGGACAAAGAAGCAAGTGGTAGATGCAAAGCCCAAACAGAA